TTTTAAATAAATAAATATCTTATTTATACATATTAATATATTTTCTTAAAATTATTTGAAATAACATAATTATAAATTAAATATATTTGAATTCTTAAAATTATATTATTAGAGACAATTTATAATTGAAAATTATCAATTTTGGGCGTTGTAGGTGTGCTAATCCTTCCCTAAACGTAACCGACCACGAATCCATTTTTTAATAAAAAGAACGAATTTTTTGTTATAAACGCAGATCAGTTCATCTTTTAACTGATGTTTTCTTAAAAACTCTTTTAAAAGATAATTTTTAGGTATTCGACCTACCTGACCCAAAAGGCCGATAGCGACTTCCAAATTATTTATTATTCACATTATTTTTCCCGCCAAGTATAAAAAAAAAATTGTGCCCGGACGAAAACCGGTTACGACAGGTCAGGAATACTGGACAATGTGATTGAGAAAATAAACGACTCACTGCCTAAAATTCACGTGTTAGTCTAGAAAGAAGTGGACCGCCTATTGCCAATAGACCAGTATGTGTTTTCATAAACTAGCGGCCAAATATGGGCGAAGGGTTTCCAAACAGACGAGCCCCTTTTGGAATCGATGTGAACATGCATGCTTCCCTGAATCTTATACTTGGATCGAATGACTCTCAACACAAAGCTTCAGGCTGCATAAGGAAGTTGTAACCAAGTTTAACCAAAAAAACTTCGTTTTGGGAGTGGAGCGGGCAGATACCGAGCCCATTGTGGCTCAGAGGCTGGCAGTCATTCTTCCAAGTAACAAGAGCAGCCTTCGAGGAGTTAGTCGCCCCACCCTAGATGAACCACCGAGCAATTTGCCGAATTTGATCGCACACACATCTAGATATGACAACCGTCTGCATAAAATAATTTAGAATCGCCAGTAAAGTGGCTTTCGCCAGCATTATGCGGCCCACCATAGAAAGTTTAGTAGCCACCAAGTTATTCAGCTTGTTATGGAGTTTGTCGATAATAAATTGGAAAATACTCTTCGTAACTCTATTGTGGAAGAGCGTCATGTCCAGATACTTGCCAAGATCGTTGGATCGTTGGAAACCCAGAGAACAGCAAATACGATTAGCCAAATCATCATCAGTTTTACCTGAAAATAAAATTTTGGTCTTGTTCGAATCAACTTTATGTCGAGAGGACATGCTAAATTGATCAAAAATGACTCCAGTGAGGGAGGCTTGACAATTAGAGGGCTTGCACAGAAGGATATGATCATCGGTAAAAAGAGATGGGAGAGTCGGAGGCTTCCCTGCGACAACCATAGGATCCCATAAATCGAAATCCATAGCATAGTGGATACAATGGGCAAGTCGCTCCATACAAAGAATGAATAAGTACAACGACAGCCGGCAACCTTAACGGATCCTCCGGGATGACTTGAATTCCTTAGAGAGTGAACCGTTCCAAAGGATTTGGATGGAGAAAGACAAGACAACATCCATAATGATCTGATGAATATTATTAGGGCAGCCCATGTCCTTAATAGAGTCTGAGAGGAAGTCCCAATTCATGTGATCATAAGTTTTTTCTAAGTCGACTTTCAACATCATCCATTTTGACTTTCCTGTTTTTCTTTTTCATCAAATGGACAATCTCTTGGGCAATGATAATGTTATCCGTGATGTCTTTCCAGCAATAAAACTAGCTTAGTTAGGACCAATGATCTTCGAAAAAAAAATATGTTTGAACCTATTAGCAATGATTTTCATCACAAGATTGTATAAGACTGAACACAGACTAATAGGCCGAAATTCACTGAAGACCTCGGGTTGTCAACTTTGATAATGAGAGCAAGAAAGGTATTGTTGAGGTCCGACTGGATAGAGTTTCCCTCGAAAATGCCTCGAACCCAAGAACAGATCGAATTTCCCATCATATGCGACTGACTTTGGAAGAAAAATCATCACTCTCGCGAATCTCCTTCTATTATTCGTGGTGTTATCCATGAGATACTGCCCCTAGATGGTCCAAGGCTTCTAGATAGCGTAAGCCTTATTGGCGAGGGCATTGATCCATAAGGTTATAGGCACGATCTGAGAATTGGATGGAAGGGAGGCCAAAGCTTGTACCCATGATAAGGTCTTCATCCAAATGTCGATATCATCTTCCTCGATGACCTGGTTACCACCTTGGTTTAGCATGCCGCTTGTTTTCCCTGCCAAGATTGATGCGTACGAGGTTAGGGTTCCTCTTGCATTGCCACTTGGCAGTCAACAGGGACGAGCTCCCTTAGGGCATAAGGGGCCCGACCCCTGTTAAAATTTATATATTCGATATAATTTTGGTTTAATAATATTTTGGTTCATGTCAAAATAAATATTTAAATTTAAAAAATATAAAAATTTATTAAATATTTAATAAGTAGGGTCGAACTAAATAATGATAAGTATGTGTTCTCAAATTTTTGGTCTAATTACAATTTGAGTCATTGTAAGTTTAAATATTAAACAAATTAGAAGTTGTCTTTTGAGTTTTGAGTTTTGAGTTTTTTTTATTTAGGGTGAATACAAGATAATATATGTACAAAGACATTTAACTATTTGACAATGAATGCTCATACCCCCTGCATATGTGCTTAAACTCGGGACTTCAAGAATAACAATAATCCCTTAATCACTAAGGTTTCTTGGTTCATACTAAATTTTGAGTTTAAATATCTAATGTCTTTATATTCTTCTTAAATAGTCTAATATTTCGATCCCTACCAATATTTAATTTTGACTGTGTCCCTTCCGTCAACCTCTATCTCATCTTGTGTTATTGCATCTACCTCAGATCTACCTGAAGCGTCTGGATCAGATTCCTTAAAGCAAACCTTTTTAGTGACATCGGAGTTGGCTAGATCTTGATTGGGGGGCACCAGACTTTCGTTATCATCAGAGGGATTCATAGAGGGTTCTAAATAAAAAGATGACGTGCACTTATATTATTTAATGTGCTTGATATACTTCTGATTAAGTGTACTTCTAAATTGAATTAAAAGAATAACTGACTTAGACATATTCTAATCAGATTGAAAAGATCAAATATTACGAATATAGCCTAAAATCTATTTTTCCATGCTAAGTAAATATATCAAATAATCTAATAACTAATTTTAAGATTTAACTAAGTTTTGTTAAGATTACAAATATTAATTAATTCAGTCATAATTGACGATAATAAGATACCTTGAAAATGATAACATAGTAAAGCTGCAAATGAATATATTATGGAATATGTCAAAATTTTAGTGCTTGCGCGGTAAAATTGATATATGACGTCTGGAAAATTCTACAGTGCATGTCTTTATTAAGTAAACATTAAAAAAGGTAAATTATATGTTTTTGTATCTAAATTATTATTTTTGTTTTATTTTATTGTTTAAAATTTTATTTTCTTAATATCATTAACGACAATATTTATGTGACATGACATTGTCAATTTATTATTTTTTAATTATCACATCACTTTTTTTTTATTCGCTGATATTTTTTAATTAATTTTATTCAACCAATTAGGTGGTGACATGTGTCACAACCATGTTGCACCACCTATAAGGATAAAAAAATAGAAATCACTCTTACTTCTAGTATGAATCAAACTTGGATCTCTTACATAAGAAACAAATCACTCAACCATTAAGCTAAGATAATCACTAGTTAAAATTCATAACATTTTATATTTTGACTTATATAACAGTATCACCCAAAATTCAATATTTTTCGATGATTCAAATATGAGACAATTTAAATTAATTACCAAAAGTTTAGTCACTAAACTATAGTGTATTGTTTTATTATATTGAACTTAATACTTACCTATTTATTATTAAATTAAAAAGACTAATTTTTCATTTTATTCAAAAATAAAAAAACTAATTTATATATTTTTATAAAAGTTATATGAAATAATTATAAAAAAGTATATTTATAATATTATAAAAATATTTATTTAATTTAATTATTTATTTGAAATAATATTTTTAAAATTATTTATTTAATTTTAAATTTAAGTATATGTTTAGTATCCAACTATTACTTTGGTTCCATACAATATTATTTAAAATTAAATAGATAATTTAAAAATAATATTATTTAAAATATTAAATAAATATTTTAAAACAGTTTCAAAATATTATAAATATACATTTTAGAATCATTTAATATAAATTTTATAAATATATATAAATAATTATTTAATTATTTTTTATTTCTAAATAAAGTGAAAATCATTCTTTAATTTAATAATGATATTAGTAAATATTAAGCTTGATATAATAAAAATATATTTGCATTATGGTTGAATGACAGTTTTAGATTATTAATTTAAAGTGTCACATACTCAGGTTTTATAATTATCAGAAAATATTGATTTTGTGCTGATACTATTATATAAGTTAAATACAAAATGTGGTAAAATTAACTTAAATTACTAGTTTAATACAATGATTGAATGCTATGCATTTCATCTAAGAGGCCTAAGTTCAATTCATGCTAATTCTAAGAGTGAGAATACTTTCTTTTATTTTATCCTTATAGTTGGTGACACATGTCACCATTTAATTGGTTGAATAAAATTAATTTAAAAATACTTGTGGAGAAATTGAAAGGTTATATGGAAATGAAAAATAAATAAATAAATTGACACGTCATATCACATCAATATTATCGTTAATGATTTTGAAAAGAAATAAAATATAAGTATGAAAATAAAATAAAAATGATAGTGTACGTACTAGATGTAAAAATGATAGTCTACCGGCTCAACAAAAAGAAGTGGACCAAACCAAGGCCCAAATAAGAATCCAAAGCCCGATATGAGAAGCATGACTAACTGGGATGTCTCCCCTGTCCACTTACAAAGCTGTCAGTCATCGCTCCGTTCGGACTTGGGATCAGCAGGTACAAATTTCACCCAAAATTTGCTTCTCATTCTCATTTATGTCTTCAAAAAACTCATCTTACTAGAGAAATGATGCTTTTTTTTTATGTTTTGTAGTAACTGAAAACCTTTTAAGGAGATGCAAATATTCGTCAAAACCCTAACCGGGAAGACTATCACCCTCGAGGTGGAGAGCAGCGACACCATCGACAATGTCAAGGCCAAAATTCAGGTTTTTCTTAATCCATCCTGTTACGCATGATCTAATCTTCAATTTCGATTGTTTTCTTGCACTATATTTTGAGTTTTTGCCAACTTAGTCTTACAGGAGATAAATTACATCTTATGAATGATTCCTTTTTATTTTTTCATCTTACGGAACTGCAAATTTAGATTTAAAGAAGTTTGACCAATCCTGCTTCTTTATTATGTACTTAGCACGTCTTTGAATATTGCATAGAAATTACTTTTGGGATGTCAATGTATAGTGAAAAATTGGATTCGACTCTACCCGATCCATTTTTTTTTTTTTTTGGATTCAGATATTATACTTGCAATGAGTGATTTGGAAGCAATTTCAGATATGAATCATTCTATATCCATTAGTCGAAGGCACTTGGATTTTGGTTCAAATAGTGTCTGATATCCGAATTTGTTATCCAAATCCAGTATATTTGTGTGGATAAATTATTTGAATATCCTAATCTGATATCAATTGCAGAAGAAATATTGAAATGATGATAAAGTTAATTCCAAATCCAGTATGTCAATGATGTTTTAATTTCATCTATTTGTGCTCTCCCGATGGAGTTGTTTGAACATAATGCTTTCTTCATGATAATTGATCATGTATTACATTTTACAGGATAAAGAAGGCATCCCTCCTGACCAGCAGAGGTTGATATTTGCTGGTAAGCAACTGGAAGATGGCCGAACGCTAGCTGATTATAACATCCAAAAGGAGTCCACTCTTCACCTTGTTTTGAGGCTTAGGGGAGGAACCATGATCAAGGTGAAGACTCTCACTGGGAAAGAAATTGAAATTGACATTGAACCAACTGATACCATTGATCGTATAAAGGAACGGGTTGAAGAGAAAGAAGGAATTCCTCCAGTTCAGCAAAGGTACCCTTTTTGGTCTTCTCTGTTTTACTGAATGCATGTCTAGGATTTATTTGATTTGTGATATGCTTTTGCATTTTTATTGTGATTTGAAATTCTTAATGTGTTATTTTCCATTGGCTAATATAATATTTTGAGGTAAGGTACTACTTGACCATATATCCGCTGACATGTACAGAAGATTTTATTTCACTTCTTTTCTGTATGCATGTATATTCTTTATTTAGGTATTTTGAGCCAAATTAATCAGGAAAGTAGCTCATAGTTTAGGTTCCATAGTTATTAAGAGGTAAAACTTTACTTGGTCTGATAGTTTAATTTCATAACGATAGTGCTCTGGTTATTGACTTTGTCAAATTAATGCATGTTTCGAGCCATCTTGCCATTTTAGTTTAAACTCAAATGTTTTGACCACTTGTAACAGGCTTATATATGCTGGGAAGCAACTTGCAGACGACAAGACAGCGAGCGACTACAATATTGAGGGTGGCTCTGTGCTGCATCTTGTGCTTGCACTGAGGGGTGGCTGTCTCTAGATGGTCCCTCCCGCAAAATACTAGACATAACAGAATCTGCTCCAATTTTACTTTCGGATAAAATCTTATCTGATAACAAATGCATGGAACATATATCCCGCAGACACAGATGTGTTGTATTAGTATAAATCTGCCTTGTCTGTATGGCCTCGCAATCTGATGAGGATAAAAAATTTGAAGGAAAAAAGTCCCATTCGTCGTTGGAACATTTAATAAGATACCGTATATCATAGCAGCAATGTGATCTGTGAACCCTTCCGTCAGCAGCGATGAGCAAATGTAGTCGATCTTCATATCGCGTTATATTGGTCTTGTTATTTATACCTCTCTGTCTCAGCTAATTTTCGACCTATATATAGCTAATTTTCCGAGACGTAAACACCGGTTTTCGTCTGGGTTTTCATTACTTTTATTTATTTAAAGTTTGAATTATTTTCTTTTATTTTTTTGCCTTTAATTTCAATTATTTGTTTTGGGTTAGGATTAATAGACATTTATAATAAATAAATTGGATTTATTAATCAGGTGGTTATTTAATTTAGGAATATACAATATATAACTAAATTTACATAAAATGATTAAAGACAAATACGAGTCATGTTTATTGATAGATCACATATCCAGACCTAATATACATTTGAGGTGAGCCTAAGCCATTACATATTGATTCGCCCAGTTATACAATAACAAGCAACGAGTGGCCATTTAATCTAGCCCGGGTAATTTTAGGGTTTTATGTGTATAAACCGTCTGCAATCATCATCGTTGGATCTCCTGATGATTCAATGGTTGAGATGGAAACCCTAAAAGCAAAGAAGAATGAGTTTAACATCGAATCTCCTGCATCGTTAAATCCAGGATCGATTAATGGTCATAATTACATACAAATAGGGTTTGTAAAATCCCAAAACCCATACAACACCGCAATTATTTGGACCGTTGGATTTAAACCAATCCAGATCAGAAGTCAAGTAGGGTTTATCGTAACCTCAAAAATCATAAGCATCGTACAATGAAATCCATATAATTTGGATCCCATCAACAGTCCAGATCACTCAGCAAGATGCTAGGGATTCAACCCTAATTTGCAAAATATCCAATTCCGCCAATGTTTAGACCATTGGATCTGGACCAATCCAACGGTCCGGATTGCCCTAAAGGTTGTTAGGGTTTCAACCCTAGTTTGTACGATTCTTTCACTACCAAGTATTGACCATCATATCAAGAATAGATCTGACGGTCCAAAGTCATCCAGATCCAAAAGAAGGGTTATCACAAACCTTAGCTCAACGTTGTTGCTGTTAGAAGTTCTGACAGTCACAACAAATATTTTCATCTGCCATGTCACCCGAACCATGGTCCTCGTTTGATCTTTCAATAAATTCTAGGGTAAAGTATAGTAATGGTTACTAAACTTTTCTAAAACTTTCATTTAGGTCCCATAACTTTTAAAACTTGCAATACAGTCCATCAACATTTAGTCCGTTTGTAATAAGGTCCCGACGTTACACTGCCATTAGTACGTTTGCAATATGGTCACTAAACTTTTCAAGTGCTTGCATTTAGGTCCCCCAATTTTTAAAACTTGCAACAAAATCCTTAATTTCATTCTAAACCCTAAATTTATTTTCGATCTCAAGTTTTCTTTTTCGCTTCTCTCTTCTCATTTCTAGAGTAACTTTTCAGTCGGAGATGCATGGGAAATTCTAATATAACTTTGAATTATGTGGAGGTGTTAACTTGAATAATGGTCCATTGAGAGAAGACCAGACCAAGGGACTATCGGAACCATCAACGATTCAAGGTGTAATGTTAGATACAAGTCATCTTAGGTGAAGTATAGATGTTTGATGAAATACTTGTGAGAAAAAAATGGGGTTAGAAATGCAGAGTTGACAAATACTACTATGATGAACTAAGTATCATTGTTGAAAGTCGCCAACAAAGCTGGAATTATTTTGTATAAATGATATATAATAATTTATTTGTTTAATCCTTGTTATTAAAGATTTTCCAACAGATGATCAAATATAATGAAATCCCAAACAATGCATTCACCTCTCAGTCTTTTTTGCTCACATGCACTCTCGTTTGGTTTTTGTTCTTCAATTTTCCGCCATGTAAAATTATAAACCCAAGCAGTGCTATGTCTTTCAGCTTTTTATTTACAAATAAAAAATGGAGGAAGAATTGTTGGAACGCAACACCGATTGCGTTTATTTCTTAGCCTCTCCCCTCACTTGCAAGAAGATATTTATTTTCTCTTTTGGGCTATCCGGAAGTAAGCTTTTCCTCTTTCGTACTTTCCCATTTTCAGCTCGTATTGTTTATTTTTTGTTGAAATTTTTATGTTTCTGGAACTTCATGTCAATGATTTGGATATTCAGTGTTAGTTTTGAACCAAAACCATCTATTTTTATTTCTTTCTTCTTAATCAAAACTTTTAGTATTCATTATTAAAGATTTCAGTTCATCAGAATAGAAGTGAAAGAGAGTCCTAGGCTAAATTTTTTTGATCTTCTTATTTGGGTTTTCTTTAAATTAGGGAATTGGTTGTGAGTATTGACATAGTGAAATCGCCAGACTCAATTCGAGAGACTGCAGATACTAGTTTACTAGGAATTGTATTGATATGACCTATGGTTTTCGACGTCCAGTGAGCTCGTATTCTTTTTAATAAGTTCATATTGATTATGGGACTCATATATGTGAACGAATTGGATTTTTTTACATGTTTTGGAAATTTTACAGTTGAATTGTATTGAATTATAGCTTTAGAAGACAAATCTGCATACACACAACTCGAAAGACATCATGATAGGGTATTATATTTGGAGCAGCTACTTGACCCTGTCATGATGCCTTTCGAGTTGCGAAAGCGACTGAGAGGTGAATTCGTTGTTTGGAATTTCATTATATTTGATCATCTGTTGGAAAATCTTTAACCATGAGGATTAAACGAATAAATTATTATATGTTATTTATACAAAATAATTCCAAATTTTTTAGTGACTTTCAACAATGATACTTAGTTCATCTTAGTAGTATTTGTCAACTCTGCATTTCTAACCACATCTTTTTCTCAATAGCATTTCATCGAACATCTATGCTTCACCTGAGATGACCTGTATCTAACATTACACCTTGAATCGATGATGGTCCCAATAGTCCCTTGGTCGGGTCTTATCTGAATGAGCCCTTATTCAAGTCAACACCTCCAAATAATTGAAAGTTAGATTAGAATTTCCCATGCATCTTCGACTGAAAAGTTACGCTAGAAATGAGAAGAGAGAAGCGAAAAAGGAAATTCTATATTGAAAAGGAATTTAGGGTTTAGAATGAAATTAAAGACTGTGTTGCAAGTTTTAAAAGTTGAGGGACCTAAATGTAAGCGCCTGAAAAGTTCAGTGACCATATTGAAAATGTACTAACGACAGTGTAACATCGGGGACCATATTGCAAACGGACTAAATATTGAAGGATTGTATTGTAAGTTTTAAAAGTTAGGAGACATAAATTAAAACTTTAGAAAAGTTTAGTGACCATTAATATACTTTACCCTAAATTCTAAAAGGCCACTTAGTCAATTTTCCTCACATGAAGACAAAAAATAGAAAAAGATTAGATTTTTTGTTTGTATTTACCATAATATACTCTATAAATGAATGGGTATAAAAACCAAAAGAAAATCCATTATAAAAAAACCCTAATCACGATGCAATAGAGAGCAAGCAAATTTTTTAAGGTATTTTTTGGATTTTCTTGTGTTCGATTCATGCAAGTACTCTAAAAATTTAAAATAAAAATAGAGAAATAAAAGAGGGTAGGGGTTCGATTATACCTTTTTTTTTGTTCATCACCAGGTAATAGGAGCTTCTCGTATGAGTTCTAGTGTAACACCCCTAACCCGTATCCGACCCGGATCTGAGTCTGAGGTGTCACATTGACTTTTGAAAACGTTTTCTTTACAAAATGACAAAAATGTAAGTTCACAATTCGAGAAAGTGAATGATTTTCATTAACTGAAACATTTGATCTTACAAAACCTATCAGAGCATATTCAATACAATTCTCTTAGTACATGCCAACTAAAATTAATATAACAATATACAGAAATTTCCAAGTACTTTTCTGATCTGAACTTTGTAAAGGAGTGATTGACTTGAGTCGCTCTTCTTCGCTTATCTTCTCGATTTTCGGAACCTACGTGTGAAACAATCACACGCTAAGTCTATGACTTAGTGAGGCAATAAACTTATAAAGAAAATTATCACCACTTAATCATGCATGAACATATCATACTATGCTATCACATAAAATAATATATCATTACATGCCATTTCATTATCCTTATTATGATTCTTGTCATCATCATTAATCCCTTTAACTTACCATATACACATCATATAACCCATATATCACTATACCAAGGAACAAGCATGTCATCATGTAATTTCTATAACATATTTCATATTACCAAACATACATATCACATATACTGTATTTGTTATTATCTCTTTATTAGCCCATGTACACATGTGAGAACTAAAGATATGCGAGTACATTGAGGTTGTGCACATATGTTGTTACCACAGCTCGTATAAGTCCCACTGAGTTGCAGGTGAAGTATGTCCCGAAGGACCTATGAAACCCTCGACTCTTGGCATGCCAACTATACCTATAGTTCTCATATCACATAACATGGGCATTATCCTTATGCTTCATAAATTCATATATTCATATCATTTCTGTAACACCCTTAACCCATATCCGACCCGAATATGAGTCTGATGTGTCGCATTGACTTTTCAAACTTTGACATTTAAAGAAAAATAGGGAAATTTTAAACTTTCATTAAAACCAAATACATTAATTTAAATAAAAGAGACCACAAAATACAACATCGATCAGAGCATTCGTAATTAACCACTTATTACATGGCAACACTCTATACACAACCAAAATACCTACTTTGTCAATTACTTCTGATCTGATCTTTTAGTAGTGATGTTGTCCTTTCCGCCTCAATTACTGCTCCTCTTAATTCTTGGTACCTACATGTAAATCACTTACACGCTAAGTCAAAG